CAAAGGAAAAACGATTTTTTAATATACACGAGTGCGATCCACACTCGAACGAGTTTAATGACCACGGTCGTTTAAAGTCAATCGAGGCCACGATGAAAGATAAAGCGATGGTGTCATTTTAATTACCCTCATTTTTAATACTTCAATGCCTCTGGTTTATTATCATTCCTGGATAGAAATCTGCAATTTTTAATCATATTTCAATTTGATGAGAAAAAAGATAATAAACTGCCTACTTAACATTTTTGAAAGCAGTTTCTGGTGTGGAATTATCTTTTTTATCTCTTACATTTAATGTCACATTGTGGAAGCTGGTATTATTCGTAATAACAGTTCGTTACACTGTATTCGATGAAGAATTATCATTTAGATACATGATGCATAAATTTGGATTTTAAATACGGAATAATTACACGGGCAAGTATTAATCTTGATAGCTGAACGTTGCGGCAAATATTTTAAAGTCGAGGAAACTTGGCGAATCTTCAAAATTGTGGAAATCATTAATTTCGTTTGATTGTGAATATTTATCATTCATCATAAAAAAATATATAATTTTTATGATAAATATGAATAATTATATCACGAAGAAAAGAATTTGGTTGAAAATTCGCGTTTAAAAATTGTACGCAACGAATTTTTTTTCTTCTTACAATGCGGTTTAATCAATTTTTTTCAATTCAATATGTCAATTTGACGCTAACGTAATCTTTTCAATTATTTTCATTGCTAAAACTCCTAAAGTGGAATAAAAAAATAAAAATTATATAATTATTTTCTAATAGAGAAAGAAACTTGCTTAATTCTTATTCTGTTCTTTTTTTTATCCGTTATTCTATATATCCAATCTTTTTATCACAACTGTTTCTACATAAAAAATAAATTTAAGTAAATTCATTTTGATATTCTTTATGATAGTTAACCAAAGAAGGAAAAATCAATTAAGATCAAAAAGTTAGCCGTACTTATATTCACCGTAACCTTATTTAAAGGATAAATTATATACCCGTATAAATGCAAAAGTTACATTTCAGATACCACGAAATCTGATTCCGTGACTACAATTCAACCTTATCGCAACGAAATTCTCGGAGAATCTAAGCTAAACGATCAACGATAATTAATCCATCGGGAATCTAATTCTCGCGAGATGGCGTACGCGTCGAATTGAATCGGCCGGAAATATTCATTTTCCTCTGGCGAAATCATTTATCGTTGCAAACGCGGAAGAAATTTGCCGCAAAGGAAACAGATGCGCGCCTTCTTTTCCCCTCTTCATTCCTATTTCTTCTCGTCGTCCAAGCGAGCTTCTACGATCGCGCTCATGCGTGAATACGGAATCGCTTCATTTAAGACGCGCGCGCGCGTGTGTGTGTGTGAGAGAGAGAGAGAGAGAGAGAAAGAGAGGAAACGAAAACGGTTAAGGACATTTCTATCCGTTGATGCAAAGTCGAACGAATGTGGCTCCTCTACCGAGAGATAATTGAAAAGATTGTAAGATTTATCGCAGCTCAAAGCTCGATCTTTTTTCACAACTTTTCCCTTCTGTGTCTTCGCATCTTTTTGTTACTCATCCCTTGAAGTTGAAGTTGGGAGGAAAGTTGTGAATGAGGAGTGTACTTGTATTGTAATGAAGTTTATCGAGAGAGAGAGAGAGAGAGACAGGTTCCTCGTGATCGATCGATCGTGACAGGTTAAGATGTAGATGTAATTTTCCAAATTAAGTTTGACAGCTTGATGCATGTTGACGCGTGTTGTTGCTTCGTTCTTTTTTTCTTCTTCTTTTTTCTTTTGTGAAAACTGGTTTCACTCTTGTGAAAGAGCGATAGGAATTGTTGGTCTCGTTCCGAGAGATTGGATTAATGGGATGGAAGTTTTTGGACGGAAGATTGATTTAGGAAGAAAGCTTCGTTAAAAAGCATTTTATGTATTCATTACTATTCTTCAATTTGTTGCAAACACCGATCTCTCTCTTTTCCTTTGTATAATTGGTTAAAAGATATTGAATATTAATCGTAAAAGTGCGAATAATTAAAAAAAGATCAATGGAAAAAACGATAACAGCGAAATTTTTTTATATTCAATTTATCAGTATGACAAATTAAAAATATCGTAACTAATTTGTAAATAATTTACAAATTAGTTATAATTCGTTGGTATTAAAATAAATTTTCTTATTCCTCATTTTGCTTTCTGCTATCCATTTCGTTCCACTCTTTTGTTCCAGCGCAACAGGGAATCGTTTCATAAAACATTAGCAGCTACAAACGAAACGAATAAAGGCTCCCATCGATCTTCGTCAAAATTACCATCACCGCGCTCTTTCCACGACCAATCGTAGTAATCAGAATCACACCTATAGCCTATAATTTCGCGCAATATCTGAAACTTCCTTCGAAAAAAAAAAAAAAAATGCAATCAATGCGATTAATAATCCAATTTTTCACGCTTCATTTTTTTTTAAAATCTAACGAAACGAGGATAAATTCGTGCAAATTCTAGCGAGAAATCGGCACGCACTCGTTAACATCTAAAGCAGTAATTACAAAAGTTTAAATTGCCTATTTACATCCGCTCAAGAATCTCGCCAAGTGTACCACGGATTTTTGCCGATACTTATCGAAACCAATTTGTATACCAAATTGCCGATAAGTGGAATAACAAGTTTTCACGTGTGCCTTTAACCGATACAAATTTCTCCAAACAAAATCGTTCGCAAATCTACGCGCCTTTTATCGAGCCAAAAATTACCAATTACCTCATTACAGATCGTTAATTCTATTAAATCAGTACTTTTTTTTTTTCGATAATCTCTCAAATCCAAACTTAAATAAAAAAAAATTACAGATATCATAATATCCAAACATTTCCTCCCTCTACCCAATTTATCTCCAATTAAATCTAAATTCGAAACGAAAAAAAGACCCCCCCCCCCCCCTCGTCGATCACACGGAACCAATACGTGGCACGCGCGGCGAACCATCACGAATGCACCTTGATTCCGGCGGATGCCAGCTGGGAAACGTGTCCACGCGATGACTTTCGCGAAAAGAGAAGAAAACTGCTGGAAGAGATAAAGGAGGAGGAGGAGGAGGAGGAGGAAAAAAGAGGAGATGTGCGTAAACGCGGAACACGCGGGATAGAGAGATACACGCGAAGGGAAGGAAGGCGCGTTCCGCTTTATCAGCGCGCGCCGCATGCCGCGGCGTGTTTCCATTAATTCGCGTCGCGGGGCGAACTCGTGCCGTTGGAATGCCCGTGTTGAGGGCCGAGAGAAGTCGTTAGGACTGCGTGCCGTTCCGCCGCCCCGGCAACCGGTTTCCCCATCGGTGATTCGTCGTTAATTCGCCGATGGGAGAGTAAGTAATCGCACGCGTACCAACCGACCACCTCGAGCGTGTTACACGATCGCGAGTTTCGCGCCGCGGGCTTGTCCCGATTTTCTTCTCTCTCTCTCTCTCTCTCTCTCGAGAGAGAGAGAGAGAGATAACCGATTTCTTCCACTTCCACCACTTTTCGGGAAGGAAGGATAATAACGCACTTCTCGTTTCATTTCTTTTCTCGACTCGAACAATTCGTTCCTCAAATTTCTCCCCTTCTTCGCGAGAAATTATTTTATCGGTTTGAATAAGCCCGCGCAAACTTTGCTCTTCGGCCGGGTTTTTCGAATTTGGTGTTAGAAGAGTTGAAATGAGATTTTCAGTTTCAATTCGGAAGAGGAGTTTTTTACTCACCAAGTAGGTTCGCCAGCGTAGAAGTAGAGGTTCCTTCTGTAACAACAACAACAAGACAAAGGTAAATATAACATAAACTATCTTGTTTCTTATATGTGTATGCGTATTTGTTCATACGTGTTCATTAATGCAATCGATCAGCAAATATTGCGTCGCAATCTTCTATCTTCTACGAGTCATCGATGTTTATTAATTACGTGTTAATAAATCTCGTATCTTGCTCGATAGGATTAGTAATACGATATTGTGCAACGTTACATTTGATCCAGCTTATTTTTCCTTTTTTCTAAGATGAAAATAATTTTTTTCAAAGACAAAGTAACAATTAACATATTTTCCGCTGCATGAGTCACGCGTATCCCACGCTCAATTCGAGTATGTATACGTTCTGAGAAATTGTAATATCAATAATTATATATATAAAAACAATTATTTTCGTTTTGATCTGATTTGTTTTAAGCGTTAGTTTAGATTTTAACGATATAAAGTTTGTTGAAATAATAATTTGGGAGATAAGTAAAATAATATCTTTGTACGAAATTTAGAAATGAAAAATAAAATATCGGAATGAAATTAAATTTGATTTGATTTATAATACTTTACCCGTGTGATACGAACGATCCAGAGAAGAAAGGAAATACAATTTAATGAAGCTGTCAAACTGCATATAATAAATCTGTATGTACTCGTTTCATTGGTTATTAAGTGTTCTACATAATGGACATATAACTAATGAATATGCACATTGTCTCTTCTTAGTAACGCTGTAATACAACAAATTTAAATGTTAATTCCATCTTAATTTTTCAATGAGTAAATGACGAATCAACTCGTCATTCCAATCTTATTAAATTTATTTCCCCATTTTTTTTTTTTTTTATCTGACCAAATTAACTTTTAATCCCACGAGAATTCCATTAAGAATTCCATATAAAGAAACCAGCCTCATTAAGAGGATAAATAATTAAACTTCTCGCCTCTAAAAAGAACAAATTTTTTACCTCGTCCATTAGCAAATGTTCGATCATTTATTATTTTATTTTATTTTTTTTTTAAGATCTTAATTAGTCTTTCTATTAAATACATTTTCAATAACGAAAGGAAAATACAAAGAAACTTTCACAAACAGCTCTTTCCTTTACAATTTTTACAATTTTTTTTACGCCAAATTCTATCCTGGAAAGAGGATCGTATTAACGCGTGAAAACTCGCTTGTTATTTCCCTCTCGAATTTTACACCAGTTCGTCCTGGCTTAAATACACGTTCGCACTATTACTATTCGTGTAAAAACGAGAGACACTCGCGTGCACGCACGCGCAGTATTATTATAATATTTCACTCCACGTGGAAACCTAGGGATAATTTGCGCGAACGAGCCGCAATTATTTAAGGGTTTGCATACGTAAGAAGGGTGGCCACGAGGTGGCTATAGTTATTTCAGCCGCTGTACGCATAACCTTTATCGATTCGCTTTCGTTGCGAGACGTTCGTCTTTTTCGTGTAGAGAAACATTGTTCGTACGATAAATTATTTTTCGTTCATAATGAATCGTGTGATTTTGTTATCGACGAGACGATTTGATTCCACGAATGATTTTTAAAAGTTTTCGGTTAAGTATAGTTATATTGGTGGAGGTTGTTTTCAATGTGTTGTTAGGTTAGGTTAGGTTAGGTTAAGCGAGAAGAAAGTACGTAAGATTTTAATTCAACTTGTCCAAAGTTAATCGAACGATTATTTACATAATAACGGTTAGTTTTGATATGATACTCTTCGAAATGGAGAAATGTTAATTGTAATTATTATTTTGATCGATGTTACTTTGCAACAGTAATTGTTAATAAGAAATGTTTAAATAAGATATCGAAAAAAAAGTTGTATCAATAATATTACCGGGCTCTGTTGCAAGTATCATTTTCAAGTTCTCATTAATACACGTTGTTATGAGACTATTATACGAGACCTTCATTGCACGGAACGAAAGTGACTTTCGTGTCTCTCTCTCTGTAAGCTATGAAGCTGAACGACCACCTGATGTGTAGGCGTCGAAACCAAGTGTGCAATAAACCTGAATCGAGAAAAATCGAATATTTCTTTTTGCTTCCCTTTTGATTTCTACGACTGTACGCTTGTAAACTACACGATTGCATTGCGATTAAGCTGAAATCAATCTGGCGATGTGAAATATAGTAAATATTAAAATACAGGCAAAATCTGACGAATAAAGATCGATCCTCGATCTAAACCATGTAAAATGAAACGATTTTTAAGATTATTCAGGTATTATACAAAATATATCGAAACTTATAGTTTATTATTATATTATTAAGATATACTTTACAATCCCTTGAAATTTCTGCAAATTTCCAAGATCAAACTAATTCAGAGGACAGCTTGTAATTCTTTCTGACACTGCTTTCAGACGATCACATATCTATCATACGTGCAAATGGAACTTTTTCAAATTATTTCCACGCCAGAATATCGGAGAGGTTCCATCGGCTTTCAGTATATCCATCATAGCACGTACAATCGTATGAAAGAGACACATAAACAAGCCCTGGCGAAGTCCAACCGACGACGATGGCGTCGAAGGTGGCGGTTCGAGTGGCGGTTCAGGGGGTGATTATGAGCGGGTAAGTGCCGCCGTCCAGTTTTTATTCTCCCCTGGACGCCCTTCACCCCTATCGTGGCAACTATCCCCGCCACTTTTACCGTGGCTCAACTAAACCCCAACGGATCAATACGCTAAAACATTGCCACGACGGCGTGTAAAATCGGAAAGAAACAATGGCGATTTTTTTTCTTTCTTTCTTTTTTCAATATCGATGCTTTCCTCGCCATCCTCAATTTCTCTTTTTTTTTTTACAGGCATAATTAAGAAGACACAACTTTTAAGAATAATCGACTCGAAGGTTTAAAAAAAAAAAAAAGGAAAATCATTGTGCAACATTCTTATCGGTATTTCTAAAATATAAATATACTCCTTCGCAATTATTTGCTCATCGAACAAATTCAAGATGTCATCGTGCAATTTACTCGCCTTCTCCCAAACTTCAACTCTCGGCTCGATCGAAATTAAACCCGTTGCGCGATATCTGTCACGTGCGACCCGCTTATCTGCATACAATCAGACGCAAACCCCTTGCTCCACCTACGAGGAACTTGATATCTCTGTTCTCGATAGAAGGAAAGCGGACGATTTTCTCCCGAGAAGGAAACATAATAACATCGAGTCTCGAAGGGCAGGAGAGACGGATGAACGGACATCCGTGGCCTACCGCAACCCCCCATTGTAAGACACCGGACTCTCTCCTCTTATTGGGCGCACGCACATCAATTCACGTGCACGCCACCACACACACACACACATACACACACACGGCTGGTCGATATATCGATTGTCGGTGGACGAACGAGTGGACACACGGCTCGACACTGCCGCGCCAGTGAACAGGGACGAGGCGGTCGTGTGGTCACTTGTTGCCTTCCACCCCCGGGGGTTGGTTGGCTGGTTGTCTGGCCTTGTCCCTCTGTGTTTGGGGAACGCTTGTCGCCGACAAACCACGTTGAAAGGGGAGGGAGAGGATGTTTCCAGGAGCGGGATCAGCCTCGAGGAGGAATTCGAGGAGGATTCCGGTGTCCGCTTTCTTTTCTCTTCGCTTGACGGAGGTCAGTAAACGACGACCGTGTGTATCGAATTCGTCTGAAGAATGGGATAAGATAGGATTGGCCGGGTTCTATCGAATTATGCAACTTTTGACCGAATTCGAACCACTGCTTTGCGATCCCTTCGTTCTTAAGAAGAGTTTCACTGTTCACTGTTTTTGCATTCCAGGTTGCCGAAGATTTAAAGCTTAGAACGAATCAAATCTCTCGACAAGCTTCGAAATTTATTCGCAAGAATCCGCTAATTTTATCGAACCGATCAATTAAACTCGAAATGCAAATCCCCTTTATCGACACACGCGTTTGACAGAGATTGGCCACTCGCTCACCCGGAATAAAGTTTCATCGTACCTGTCCAACGTAGGTCGATTCATTCTGGCAGGGCCGCCAGATATAGCCGTCGCGTTATAAAAATTACGCCCGTTTATCTTATCCGTTTGTGTACAAACGGTTCCGCTTCGCTACCTTTCGAATGGCGCGGCGGAAAAACACGAAAACCCGGCTCGATTTCGATTCGCCGCGGGGGCATCGATTATCCGATAATTTCGTGGACGGAAATCGTCCCACCCATCCTCCGTGTCCTCTCTCCACCGTGTTTCACGTGAACACGGTCTTTCGAGATTATCCTTATCGCGGCCAGGGTAAAGATAGGTTTTTAAACAGCCGATAATGGCGCCCTTGTCGTTTTGCCCTTCTTCTCTCTCGCGCACGATGAAACTCCTCACCTTATCTCGGCCGAGGATTTAAAGATATCGATTTTATATCCTGTTTTTATTATCGGACGAGCCGAGTCCTAATTCGTCCAAGTTTCAGAATTATGAGCGAGGACAGGTATTATTGGTGGAATCGAAGATACGAAGCAACGTTGTTTAAATCTCGAGTTGTAAACAGGCTGTTTCCAGAAAACAAAGTTGTTTTGAGGATTCCCGGAAACGGTTTTTCTTTTGTCGAGGCCCGGTTTCCCGGAACACCCGATGTCTTCCAATAAAATTCAACAACGATAATTGTTGGTCATCCACGGTGATAATTATTCACGGTGGACCGTTATAATGGCCGGTTCACCATTTTTACAACCGTAATTAGCGCTTTCGCGCGTTATCTTCCATCTGAAACCGTGTCTGTCCACCCGTGCTGCTGTCCATCTCTCTCTAATTATCTCGCCCACCATTGTCTTTTTATTACATTGTTGTCGATTCGGTGAACGTTGGATGGTCGAACCACCTGTGTAGTTGTCGTGGCGAGCATTGTTTCACTGTTTCAGTGTTTTATAACTCGCCGAGTGTAAATTGGAACGTACTCGAATTTATATTAAAAATTTATTTCGTTAATTATATTTTTTGATTTACTCATCGAACGAAAATTGCAAACTCTGAAATGCAAATTCAACGTTCGAGAATTGGCAAAAAGTTGAAAATCGTCCCGTAGGATCGTTAATCGGCGATGGTAGGCAGAGATCGCGTACGTGGGAAACACGCTGCTCTCTGGCAGGGATTATATAATATTCAATTTTAGCATGCGTGCGACCCGTCTTAATCCAACCATTACGTCTAATTGGTCGAGATTAGCTAATATCCTTGTAGTGATTAGGCCGTGTCTGTGGCCACGGCTCGTTTAGATTGAAGCCAATTCCCCCGAGCGTGTAGCGCATGCATCGCTGTTCCAAGGATCGATGGGCTGATCAAACATTATTACCAGGAGAAACCTCGAACCGTTCTTTTCACGCGGGGGATCGCTTCGATGAAAATCCGCTCCAAAAGGAGCTCGAGTTGTTCGATTGCGAGGAAAAGGAGACGAATTGCTAAGATTGAAAACTTCGTTGTATTAAGCATGAAAGTGTTTTTTAATAAAAAAATTTTAAAAATTATTCTATTTAACGAAATCGTTGATCCAATCGATGAAATTGAATTCTAGCAATTACACGAATCAAGTTTGTCCGAATAACGTCGAGATATTGATATTAGATTTAGAAAATGTTGATACACCAATAAATTATATAATAACTTGAATTCAAAGGATGAATAAATCTTGAAATAATAACAAATACTGCTCCTACTGATAAAACATAGCGAAGACGAGCTACAACGTAATATATATCATGAAGAATAATATCAATTGATGAATTTGAAAGTTAATTCTCCAATTGTAAATAATAAAATAAATCCTAAAGATCGTAATACAGAAATATTTAAATTTAATTTTGCTCCATAGCTAATCCACTAAAAACATTAATTCCTGTACAATTATTGTTGTTGAAGTATAAATATCCCACGGTAAATATATGATGAGCTCAAACGATAAAACTTAATTCCTAATATGGCATAAATTATTCCTAAATTTCCAAAAATTTCTTTCTTTCCTCTTTCACTTATTACAATATGAGAAATTAATCCAAATCCTGGTAGAATTAAAATATAAACTTCTGGATGATTAAAATTTCGATCAAACAATAATATAGTAATTGCACCAGGAAGAACTGGTAAAGATGTAATTAATAGAACAGCTGTAATTAATAAACCTATAATTGATGAAATTCCTGATATCTGTGTTATTCCTATTCTAATATGATTGTACGTGAAAGTAAGGAAGACGAACGAAGAAGAATAAAGTTACTGGATAACTGTCGCTTCAATTTTAAATCGATTCCTTTCTCGATTGTTTTGCATATCCGCTCGACATGAGAATAAGTATTCCATGAGAAAATAGGAATCATGGGATTTTTTTTTAATACCTCATCATTTGAAGGTTCTATTTGGAGTAGTAAACATTAACCTTACCACGATGAATTCATGGCCCCTTACCGAGGGGACTTGCGAACCTATAATTTAATAACCAGCTGCTTCGTTTCCATATAATGCCGCCACTCGGTTAGACGCGAGTAAACACGCTAGAGTGCTCTTTTTAGTAAAGTTTCTTAGGCAAGAAAGCGATCTCTTCGAGAATGCTCGAGCCACGAACGATTCTTTGCGTCGTTGTTTAACGCAGCCAATATTTCGTAATGAGATTTAGTTTTAGCTCGTGTGCAATTACGCTTCTCCATCCTTTTGTTATCTGAAATTTATGTGATATTAAGAATTGATTCGTAACGAAAAATTACATTACTTTTGTTATTTATACACGAATAAAGTTTTATATTTCGATTTCTTTAAATATTGGGAATAATTAGAGGTTAATAAATATGCTTATAGGAAGGATAAAAATAAAATGAAAATTGAATCGAACATTCGAACAATAATAGATTGAAACAGCATAGATGATTTTACAATTTTCCTCCAAAAGATAAGATCCCTATCGCTTGACAAGGTAAACTAAACAAGGTTAAAGATACGTTCTTTAAACATCCTATTCATTATCATGTAAATATCGATAATGACGTTCCTTGATCAATTTCCCCCTGTGGAATACTTTCTTCGTAACACGAAATTTTAAACGATTCCGATTAATTTTCATAAATTGTTTTCCCTTCGTGTTATTACCAATCTGAGAAATATATAATTTTTACTCGAGCCTGTTAATATAATACATAAAGTATTAATAAGTTTCTGAAAAGAAAAGAAAGGATATACTTGTCCACTTAAATGATTGTTAAATTGGAAAAAACGAATAATTTTACAATCGTTAAACAAACGTGCATTCGCAATTCTCTATCGAGAGAAGAAAGAAAATTAATTCCCTCCAATTAAGCAAACCTACAATTACAATTATCATCAGTTCCCCTCAACAATTGCAGCAGCGAGGAAAGAAAGAAGGGAACAAAAGGAAAAAAGAAAGAAAGAAGAAGAAAAAAAACGAGAGAATCGGCCGCCTATCCATTACCCGTTATCAGGTTTAACGCGTGCTTATCAACGTAAACTCCGTGTTCCTCGCCTTCTACATACCGGTCAGCCGGCCACGTCATATCTTACACGCCGGTTGAAGGAAGATCCCTCCGCTTTGCCGGCTAGTGTTACAAATCTGGCCGCGAAAGGGCGGGGATGTCGGCTGTCTTGTCCGTGCTACCAACTCGCCTGTAAAGAACCTATCTTCCCCCTCCTTGTCCCTATAGTTTTATATTTTCCCCGCTAAAAACCTCTCGTCCAGCCTCTCTCGTCTATATCTCTGATCCATCTCTTTTCTCTCTCTCTCTCTCTCTCTCTCCTTTTATCCAACCATCTCTTCTCCCCCTCCTCCTGCATAGGTCGGACCGTGATCCTTCGCGGGGCCCAGGTAGCCTAGGCGAGAGTGAAAAAGGTGGACGCGTGTGCTCTCGTGTGAAGTCGACATACACCACGGCCTGTTCCACGGCCAGGTGTGTAAACAAGGCTTGTCACTTTCGCCCGTGACAAGACCGCCGAGGGACCATCGTCGTCGTTTTCGTTTCGCCGGATCTCCCGCGGATCTTCCTCTCTCTCTCTCTCTCTCTCTCTTTGTCTTCAACGAAACACCCACGGCCGGGTGGAAGCTGATCGAAAAGCTGATAATCGAGTGAAGAAATAATTAGAGGGAAGAGAGCTTTGGCTTCTCTGAGGCACTACAGTTTCGTCTCGATCGGATTGTTTCGAAGGAATTGAATAAGGAAGGTGATGATAAGGGATGGTCGATTCGAGGGAAATGCGTTTTGTTGGGGAAGAAGGTCTAGGAGGATGGGGGCGGGCGATGGAAACGATTAATTTCTTAAAGTTTATGGCGATGGAGGATTTATGGATTTATGGCTAGATGGGGATGGATGGGTGTTCAACTTGGAAGAAAGGTTGGTTTGGGATGCAACTGGTGCGGTGAGAGATTCCTTAAGCTGTGATAAAAGTGTGGTATTCTTCTTCTCTCGTTTTTGATATACGATACTTAGATATTGCGAGGAACCGTAATAATATTGTTTAATTTAATGTCAGTAGGTAATATTTCATCTATCTTTTCGTTTCAGAACGATTCTTATGATCTAATATTAGCTGGATAAAAACTGGACTTGTTAAAAATAACTAGAAAAATCTAGGGATCACTAGTTTGCACTTTTATGTTCTCGTATAGCAGATAGAAATAATCGTTAACATCTAACTTGTAAATAAAAATTCAAATATTAAATTGTTTCGAACGTATATAGTTAATATTATTAATATTATTTAACTTAATGTCAGTAAGTATTATTTCATCTATCTATTAGCTAGATAAAAACTGAACTTGTTAAAAATAACTAGAAAAATCTAGGGATCACTAGTTTGCACTCTTATGTTCTCGTATAATTTCAAAATATTATGAAAGAAAGATGCAAAAGTATAGATGTATTTTCAATATAGCACACGGGACTAATCGTTAACATGTAAATTGTAAATAAAAATTCAAATATCAAAAATTATGTATTAAAATTAATCAATCAAATTTAATCATCTTTTCAATTATCTTCTCATTGTCTCATTTGATGAAATATTTCTTTCGATATTGGACATTTGCTCAATTATAAGTTGTAGGGATATTCCTCCATAGAGGATAAAAAAGAAAAAAAAAAAAGAATGTATCAAAATGAAAAAGATCCGTTCCAAACTTTCCTTCCAAAAGTTAGGCGAAAAAGGAAGCGAGCGGAGAGAAGAGAGAAGGAAAAAGAGAAACAGAAACTTGGAGGCACAATCTTCTCACCGAACCCTCGAAATAATCTCAACAAATAATCCTCGCAATCCAGGCGCGACTGCGACCAGCTTGGAGTCACGCTCGCTCTCCTAAAGCGACCGTTGGAGACACACAAAAGAGAATCGTCCCGCTCTCTGAATGGACTTTTCCAGGTATTCGAGGCCGGAAGATTCCACCGTGTGGAGAGGCCTCCGCGTGAAAAAGCTTGGCTGACAGAAAGAAAGAAAAAAAACGGATGAAAGAGGGCGCGAACGGAAAGATCAACGCGATGAAACAAGGGTGTCATAAGCTATTTTCTTTGAAAATTTTAGCGAGAATCAAGAACAAGTTTGAGATAACTTTATTAAAAATCATTAAAAGAAAATAATTAAATCTGTTGTTGTTTTTTTTTTTCAAATCTTTGTATTATTACATTTATAAATATTGGAATCATTTTTTGAAAATTTTATTCCATAATTACTTTTTAAATCAATTATTGCAAGTTTCTCTATTGATTATTATATCAATAAAAACACACAAAATCTCGTAATTTATTGAAATTTCACCAATAATATTAATTCTATTATGCAAGGAAATACAAATAGTATATCGTTATTATCAGATCGATTGCAAGAAAACTTGATTCATTTCTTTCTTCAAATCATAGTAGCGTGCATTGAATGTATAATCGTCTCTCACGGTGATGAAGATTTACTAGTCCAGTGAAAAGTTACTAAGCTTGTCCACCTAGATGACACCGGTCATCTCGTATCTAGAATGCATTTCCATACATTAACCCTCCGCATTGCTAACCACAGGTTTCTTTTTCTTCTTCCCTATCGTGATCTATCGTGCTCTCTAGCGATCTCTCTTTCTTTCATTACCTCATCTTACTCTGTTTCATTGCTTCTTTTTTACGACTTCCTTTTATTTCTACTCTTCGAGGTTCTTTTTCTATTATTGTTATCCTTTTACACAAAGTTTATTCTAGTTTTTTTCTTCTTCTTTAGTTTATCCTTTAGTTTACAAAAATTACAAAAGCGAATTGATAAAGAGAAAATTTTAGATAAAAATTATTTATATGCTAGGAATTTTAATTTTTTGTAAAATTCCGTTACAAATAATCAATTATTAAAATAACAAATTGTACAATTTACTTTACTTTAATACTCTCTCATTTCTAATCTCATAATAAATTTTCATGATCGAATCGATATATTTAGAATTAAAGAAATTTCATTACTTCAAATTATCTTTAAATTTTCTCCAACTCCATATTTGCTTCAGTCTCTACCTCTCTTTTATTCCTTTCTCTACGCATCAATTCACGCTCAGACCCAAGTTTTCTCTAGAGTTATGATGGATAAGCTATGCACGAAGAAAATAACACAGTGGGGTGGTTTCATCCAACGAGCGGAGATTCCGTGCTGTTCCTCGAGGATTCCACAGTAGGCTGATCGGAATTTATCGGACCATAAGGCACTTTTATAACATCCCAGGCCACTGGCCTCCGTTTTCTCTAGCCTTTACGCGTATGCACAGCGTTAAAACGCCACCTAAATTTCGTATCGTTTATAGTGGCTCCTTTCTTTCTATTATTTCGTGGCAGGTGTTCCCTCGCAGGTGTGTGCATGGGATACACGTATTCCTGGTGGCAAACAGGGAGAAATATTTCATCACGCTGATCACGGTGTCTCCGATCACTGAATAGAAATATTTTTAATTTTATTACGAAATAATTCGAAACACGGAATATGAGAATATTTCATTTTATTTCTTCGACCGATTAAATAAATTCACTTATAATTACGATAATTTTTAAAATCAAATCAATAATAATTAAAGACCCGATCTAATTTTACACACAGAATAATTTTCGAATCGCAACACATTTAAAAACACATATCGACGAGGATCAAGAATCTACGAATCCTATACATCATTTCCATCCATGAAATTCCAAACG